TGTAAGTGGCACCCTCCATCCATTCGCTATACGGGGTGTGGGGGAAGGGGTGTTTTTTTTAAATCTCTGTAATAATAGAATGCAAATGTTTTGCACCTTTTTCAGTATACTTTAAATAAGAGTTTTACGATATTTGCAACACAATTAGGTCTTACTATAAAATAACCTTTAGATAAAAGAAGGATGAGCGATAAGGACGATAGATGTTTGATTTGATTGGAAAGAAGGAGCAACCCACATAATCAGAGCATCTGCCAATCACCCATATGGTTTGCGTCAACATAAACAGCATAATATGCAATTTAGGAGACGGGTTTTTTTTCGAACCTGCATGCCTGTCAAGGCCGACCGAACTCAGTTGGTGCAACATGGCATGCTTTTGAATTTTGGGGGGGGAAGAAGAAGAAAAAAGGGAATGTCATCGACCCAATAGCCGTTCGCAACTCATAGAGGGCACGGTCGCGTTCTGGTCAATCAACAGCGTTTACTGAAGCCTTGTTGTTCTGAGGCCCTTTCAAAACAGAAGCACGACTTCGGGATTCATCCAAACCTGATTCCCTGTAAGGACTTCTCTGTTGACATCCACCCCTTGGCGCTCATAATATGACCTTATGCGCCGTAAAGCCTCTACTAAAACGACTAAAAACTATTAAAAAAAAACCCAAAAACCTTTACGAAAACGACTAAATTAAAAAAAACAACCTTTCAAATCTATTTGTTTTGTCTGTAACGTCCACAAAAAAGGGGGACAAGAAACAACACACGTACTATGAAGAATGGAAATCGTCAGAGATCAAAGAACTATAAAGATCAAAGCGGTAGCTCCTCCGCGGTCCAGGCCGGAAAGAGTAACCAGACAGACAGAAAAAAAGAAAGGAACAAACGAAAAAGCGGACGACTGTGCATTAACTCGAACCCCCCTTTCATCCCCCCTCCCCCACACTCCTTTCACTACACCCCCCTCCCCTTTTCCACCCTCCTCCTCCTTTCACTCCCCCCTCTCCCCTCCTACTCCACCCTTTTACAACCTACCTTCTCCACTCCCTCATCGTCCATCCACTCCCCCTCCACCCCACCCCACCTCCACGCCCTTTTCACTCACACTCCCCCTTTTCACTCCCTCTCCTCCTTTTTTCATTCCCTCACCTCCCTTTCTCTCACTCCCGTCCCCCTCCCGTGTTTGTCTTCTCCC